ACATAAGCAAAAAGAAAAAAGCCGGAAGTGGCGCTGTGGCTCAAGTGGTGGAGCGCTAGCCTTGAGCTGAAGAGCTGAGGGACAATGCCCAGGCCCAGAGTTCAGGCCCCACAACCGGACCCAAAAAAAAAAAAAAAAAGACTAGGGGCGAGAATCAGTGTCAAACATCTATAATCACAGTTGCTGGGAAAGCTCAAGAGGATTACTTAAGCTCAGGAGTTCAAGGCCAGCCTTAGCAACGTAAGACCTTATGTTAAAGTAAGATTAGAGGGCTGGGAAGTAAGATTAGAAGGCTGGGAAGAAGAAAAAGCCAGAACTGGCGCTATGGCTCAAGTGGTAGAGTGCTAGCCTTGAGCTGAAGAGCTGAGGGACCGTGTTCAGGCCCACAGTTCAGGCCTCACAACCGACTAAATAAATAAATAAGATTAGAGGTGAGGTACAAAGCTCAAAAAAGAAGGCCTTCTGAGGCAGATTATCATTTGAAATCAAAGTCAATGGTAGGTTTGATCCTTCCTTTTCTTCTTCCCTCTCCCTGTTTCTCCTTTCTTGACCACACAGGTTTTGAGCTTAGCCTGAGCTTGCTAAGCAAGCCCTCTACCAACTTGAGCCAGTCCTTTTAGTTGAGGCCAGCCTTGGACCACAATTGTCTTACTTATCTCTCCCAAATAGCTAATAGAACAGATATGAATCACAACACCAGGCTTATTTGCTAGCTTTTTGCCTGGGCTGGCTTCAAACCATAATCCTTTCAGTCTCTGCCTCCCAAGTAGATTACAGGCATAAGCCATCTTGCCAGGCTGAGATTTCTGCTATGTTATTTTCCTTTATTATTATTATTTTTTAAGTCCAGATCCTTCTCTAGCAAATTGTACTTGTACTTGCTTCATTCTGCTCTCAACTACAGCTCCTTGTTTGGCTTCTCAGTGGGGTGGTAGAAAATAGAAGGCAGATATACATTCAGGCTTTGAGACCCTGTTGGTCTTCAGCTCAGAGCCTAGCTCTGTGGTCTTGAACCTTAGTAACCCTGGGTGGTACATGGGGGACAATGGAGCTATGAAGTAGGCTCAATATGGTAATGTGAGGGAAGATTAGTGCACTGAAACAATGACTGTTATATTGAAGATTTACATAGTAGTAGAAAAATGGAATTTAAGGCATTGGGAGAGTACTTCCTGTCTTGTGATTACTATTTGGACAAAACTAGTCAGAGAAACTGGCTCAATTATACATTAATAAGAAGGCCACTCTAAGAAGGAAGATTTTACAGGGGTGCTGGTAGCTCATGCCAATAATCCTGGCTGCTCAGGAGGCTGAGATCTCAAGATAATGTTCTAAAGCTAGCCTTGGCAGGAACGTCTGAGAGACTTTTATTTCAGAGAACCACTAAAAACCTGTAAGTGGAAAATCTATGAGACTTTTATCTCAGAGAACCACCAAAAATCTAGAAGTGGAGCTGTGGCTCAAGTGGTATAGATCAGTCTTGCACAAAAATAACTCAGAGACAACAGCAGCCACTTTGAGTTCAGGCCCCAGAACCAGCACCAAAAAAACAACAAAAAAAAAGAGAAGACATCTGTAAAGCCCGGCCCCTTGGCCAGGAAATCCTTTCCTCAACTTCCCAGTCTGGGGAGGATGGGTGAATCCCTGTGCCCACAGAGCCTGGCACACAGAAGGACTTAGTAAATGGTGACTGCACACTCGAGAAAGTACTGACAAAATGCTGGTTCTCAGTGGGGCTGGACTTCAAGGCCACTGCCAGCCCCTGAGAAGTGCCTGTGCCGGAGAATCTGACAAGAAGAAGGTTCAGAGGACAGAGGAGGCAGGTCAGTGGCCCTTAGATCCTGGCTCTCCTAATGCTTGGACACTGAGAGCATGGCTCCTTTTGCACTTTGGTTTTCTCAACCATCATGTGTGGGGAGAGGGGGTCATTCTACCTGTGGGGTAACTTATCAAAGTATCTGAATGCTCAAACATGGAAGCAGTGCTGTGGCTCAAGTGGTAGGAAAAAAGTGGCAAAAAAGTTCAGGAACAAGCCAGGAGCCAGTGGCTCACGTCTGTAATCCTAGCTACTCAGGGGACTGAGATCTGAGAATCATGGTTCAAAGCCAGCCCAGGCAGGAAAATCTGTGAGACTCTTAACTCCAATAAACCACTAGAAAACTGGAAGTGGCACTGTGGCTTAAGTGGTAGAGTGCTCACCTTGAGCTGAAGAGCGCAGGGACAGCCCCATGACTGACCAAAAACAAAGAAAAAAAAAAAAAGGTCAGGAACAGCGCCCAGGCCAAATATAAATAATGGTGAAGTGCCTCCAAAACATAAAACAATGCTGTTACCATCATCATCTTTTTTTTTTTTTTTTTTTGCTATTTTTGAGCCTGTGTTCTTTTCTTTTTTTTTTTTGTCAGTCAGGGAGCCTAAACTCTGGGCCTGGGCGCTGTCCCTCAGCTCTTCAGCTCAAGGCCAGCACTATACCACTTGAGCCACAGCGCCACTTCTGGTTTTTTCTGCTTCTGTGGTGCTGAGGAATCAAACCCAGGGCCTCATGCATGCAAGGCAATCACTCTACCACTGAGCCACTTTCCCAGCCCACCATTTTTTTTCCATTTTTTTTAAATTTAAAAAAAAAGTGGATATAGTGGCACATTCCCATA